GGGGGGGGGGGGGGGGAGGAGGAGGGTGCGTTTGTGGTTAATAATACAGAAGAGTTCTGCGTACCTTAAAATCTAAATCAGCGATTCTCAACCTGTGGTTCGCGACCCCTTTGGGGGTCGCACGCCCCTTTCACAGGAGTCTCCTAAGACCATCTGAAACCACATATACTCTACAGTTATAAAGTATCAACGAAAATAATTTTGTGGTTGGGGGTCGCGACAACATGAGGAACTGTATTAAAGGGGTCGCGGGGTCAATATATTATTTTTAGAATCGGGAATTTGGATGGCGGCTCTCTCTTATGACCCATATTACTTGACGTGAGATTAACAATATGAATTTGCGGTCAAAAACTATGTAGATATTTTTTTTTTAAGTATGGACACGAATTTTGAAGAAACTAAGTAAAGAAATTCGATACCATAAAATCACAGATCTGCAACCTTGTCTTGTTTACCGTTATTCATCAAATGTATCGTAAGTTTAAAATTAGAGCGAAATTGAGTTAGTGTTTGGTAAACAAAATCAGACAATTACTCTAAATTTCAAAAACGTTTAAAGGCATTGATGCCTGCTATGAACACATTTTACAATTAAAATGGTTCTATCTAAAGCGCCATTTTCTATTTTAAGAAAGGAAAAAAAATCAGTTTGAGGCTGAGTGACGTCTATGCGACTCAATGGCGTTTCTGTGACTCGATATCATACGATCATTAAAGCATTTTTCTTGTATCTCTTATATCTATTTAGCTTGCGGTGTGACTGCCTCCATTTCCAGCTGCTTCCTATTCCAACCGACCCTCTCACTACTCAACATGTTTTATATTACAAATAATTTTCTATGTTTGAAAAAAAAAAAGTAGAGTTCTATGGTGAGTTCAATAGCGCGCAAAATATAATTCCCGATAATTTCGCTAAAATTATTTACTTTTTAAATAACCCAACTGCGTTTGGTGGGTAATATTTTCTTTTCTTTTCAGAAAATACAATTGTTTCAATTTATGTATGGTGTAATTAAATATTCGGTTGAAAAGTGATTAGGACATCAGAATATTAATATCGTTCATGGGCGTGAAATAAAAAGTATCGATTGGCGCATCATGTGTGTGTGGGGGGGGGGCGGGAGTACTTAAGCAAAATGTGGGATTCTTAAATGTGCATAACTTGAGTTCGTGTTTGGTCAAGTAACTGTAGGTGTTAAAAAGTTCACGCGTTGCTGTCGGCAATGTTTGGCGGGCTATAACTAGTATAAGACATTTCTCAAAGTTTTGTTTTGATTCTTTCCCTTGGACTACTGTCCCATTCACCTGTAAAAACAATCCATCAAGTAGACAGGAAACAATGGGAAATAATGCGCTTTCTATTTCCCTTCAAGAGTTGGGTTTTTTTTTTTTGTACAATTCCTCTTGTTTTAAAATGGATCTTTATAGCCTGTGTGCAGTGTTCATTTAAGAGATATTGCGTACGGTTACGAATCAGGAGTGTGGAAGAGGGGGGGGGGGGTCTCTTGGCGGAATGAGAACGTAGATTTGTGCTTGCATACTGTCCAAAAACGAGATATTTCCATGTACGTCCCAGTGTAAAGTTAACTAAAGTAAAGTCGCTTAAGAATCCATCTGATCCCAACCACTGTGAGCAGCACCATCTGATCCCAACCACTGTGAGCAGCACCATCTGATCCCAACCACTGTGAGCAGCACCATCTGATCCCAACCACTGTGAGCAGCACCATCTGATCCCAACCACTGTGAGCAGCACCAAATACTTGAGGCTAATCTTGTTAGGGGCCTTACACTATTCGATTATAAATATCGCACTGTCCCAAGACTACATCAACTCCTGATTGTAAGCCGAAATCTTACCTCCTGTTGTTGGCATTCATATATTGATTTATTGATTTATTCGCAACTTAACGAGCTTCAAGACTTTAATGACAAGGTATTGAAGTACCTTTACACTAATAGATTTAAACATCTACAATATTCAAAAAGTTATTGATAAGTTTTTAAACATTTGCAATCTGTTTTCGTTTTTTCTAAGTACGTCAATTTAAGATAAATTCGATTTATTGATTGAAGAAATGTGTAAAAGTATATAGTATATCGACGAAGAGTCAGTTTGTAATTTATCTGAAGAATGTTATAGTAGTTATGAAACTCCAAATAAACAATTCTATTAACTGAATATTTGGGATTATATTTTATATCTATACGATTTCCCCCAGATTAAATGACACATTAATCTCATAAATATATTACGCTTCTGGTATGACTGGTGGACTGCTTCCTAATTTACCGCTTCCATTTCCGGCTCCTTCCTAATCAGAAAATTCGGGTTTGAGAGTATATTATAAATAATTCTATATGTTTGAAAGAAATTATGTTTCAATAATCAGTTGAATAGCGTGCAAAATATAATTCCCGATCACTACATCAAAAGATATATATTTTTTTTTATATGACGCAATGGCGTTTTCCAACGACCTACGAGATCTCAAGGCCTGAGCACAGAGTGTGTGAATTTACGTGACGTTACAGCAAGGAGGCGATCGGGTAAGAGTGCCTTTTATTGACTGTTCCAGAGGCGTAGCGAGGGTGTTTGGCGCCCGGAGATAAGATCCATTTTAAAGCGCCCCTTTTTCTTTTTTTTCAACTCTCAAACCCATCATTTTTACCATTAATATAATATCAAAGCACATTTTGGCGCCCCTAACTAGCTTGCGCCCGGGGACATCTGTCCCCCCCCGCCACCCCCTCGCTACGCCTCTGGACTGTTCTGGTGTGCAGTCCGTTTTGAGGACACTAGTTGTGGCTTTTTATTGTAATTCATATTGTGGATGAATTGTTATTTCGTCAAAAATAGTACAACCGTTAAAAACTGTTATTAAAATTCTAAACATTTGAGTGTCCTGCTGAAAAAAAAATCAGAAATTAGAGAGTGAAAGATTTCAAGCTGCAATGCAGGAAAGATTAAAAAAACTAATGAGGAGTATGAACGAAATAAAAAATATCAGATTTTAGTGACTGTTGAAATAAAATTAAAAGTATGAAAATGTCGTCGTCTTGGGATGGACTGTACAGAAGTGAATGCATGTTTTTATTTATTAATATGAAAGGTGATGGCCCCCTGAAATAAAACATACTCGTTTTGTTGACAACTGAACTTTGATGGTAAAGTTTTTGTTTTAAACAAACTCAAATCTCTGTCATAGACAACAAGCCATTGCCAAAAAAATGTTTCATATATTTATGAAATTTCGGCTTCATTACATTTTATGGTAAAATCATGTAATGACAGTTAGCAAAAAGAAATCGTTGACGTTATAAAAGAAGCCTTTGGGTAATTTAATGGCA